ATTTTGCTGGATTATGCACAGCAATTTACAATAAAATGTATCGGAATCGGATGCAATGTATAGGAACACATACCGAAATTTTATTTAGCTCGTGATCTCAGTCCTTTGTAACATTGACAACCGTTTACATTCCTGAGAAATATTGCAATTTTCAGTCAAATTGTTTGCATATTTTTACATCTGTATATGTGTGTATATATATATAAATGTTTATTATTAATATTTATCAATATATTACACACATTTTACAATATTCCTTTTTTTGTTCCGTTTTCACTGTCTTTTTATCTCAGATATCCTTTTAGGGCCGGTACACATCCGCTCTACCAAACGAGTAGCTATCGCATGGTAGCCGTCATGATGATGTTCATGTCCCCGACCCATACGCTGGGGCCAGTTCGGGCAGGTGGTTTTGGTATTCTTTGTGGACTCAAACAGCTCTAAAGCCCAGTGCCAGAAAAAAGGTGGCATTTTCTCAGGTGCGTCATTGGGTCACCCGTGGGATGACATCCTGTTGTACACTGTAAAATTTTTAGTGTCGGTCATGGTAATGCTAAAACCACTGTCAGGGAATGAGTGTCTTGGAAAAGTGTTTGTGTCATTCAAGCAATCTATTTTCAAATTATATTTTATTTTAAAAGCATGACATTCAAAGTAGGGGTAGGTGTTAATTATAAATTGTATGATGGTATAATGCATTAAAAATATAGAAGTATGATTTTAAATGTACTCGATCCCATGAATATTGAGCTACACAAAAGACAATCTTTTTTAAAAAGAATTTTTTTTTTTTTCTAATTTAGAATTTACACTTGGGCACGTCACAAGCGGAGTAAATTTAGTTTATGTATGTCACTGAGCGCATTAATGCGTCCCACAGGCCCTAAGAAATATCCTTCCTCCGTTTAAAAAGTCTGGTAAAAACATTGAGCTCTTCTTGATTTGAAAATAATCAAACATTTTCTTGTACGCACGCTCCCAAGACCCCTCCACCTATAAACATTTTCTTGTACGCACGCTCCCAAGACCCCCCCCCTATAAACATTTTCTTGTACGCAAGCTCCCAAGACCCCTCCACCTATCAACATTTTCTTGTACGCACGCTCCCAAGACCCCCCCCCCTATAAACATTTTCTTGTACGCAAGCTCCCAAGACCCCTCCACCTATAAACATTTTCTTGTACGCACGCTCCCAGACCCCTCCACCTATAAACATTTTCTTGTACGCACGCTCCCCAGACCCCTCCACCTATAAACATTTTCTTGTACGCACGCTCCCCTAACCCCTCCACCTATAAACATTTTCTTGTACGCACACTCCCAAGACCCCTCCACCTATAAACATTTTCTTTTACGCACGCTCCCAAGACCCATCCACCTAAAAACATTTTCTTGTACGCACGCTCCCAAGACCCCTCCACCTATAAACATTTTTTGACAACCTCGATTTTCGCCCTACTTCCCGGTGAAAATGATTGCCGATTTTTGGTGCCGATGAATAGACTGCCTAGCGGCGTAGCAGAGATTAGTGACGTCATGGGTGATCAAAGATTTATGCCACTCTCCACGCCATGATACAAACTCTATCCGTAAATGCCACACCTGCATGTAAAGACAAAGTGACACCTGGGTGGATCACTCCATCCACCCTTTTTCTACTCCCCTAGCAGTTGTGTATTTAGAGTGTGTAGAGTCAGGGGACAAGAGTCATTTTGCGCCCCCCCCCCAACTCTAAAACCCATTAATTTCAACAGAAATTACCTTCAAAGACCATTATCGAGCCCCCGATAATCTGGCGCCCCAGAAGGTATGTTCCATCTGCCTCCCTTTAGCAACGCCTCTGGCCGGTGCCCACAGGGACTCCCCCCCCCCCCTTAAAATATGAAATGAGCCCTTCCGATCCCCCCCCCCCCCCCCTTAAAATATGAAATGCCCCCACCCATGTGAAAATGTCTGAGAGAAACACTGTTTGGGAATTAAAGACATAAATACGTTTCTTAACATCCATTTGCTTCCAATAAAATATTACTGGAAAAAACGTAGTTACTTCTAAATTCCAAATATCTAATATATAATACTTTATTTTCCTTCTTAGCTGTTACCATTTTTATCATCCCGACGGTCCCCAATGAATCTCCTCTGACAGTCTACTCGGCGGCCATGAAACCTGGATTTCGCCAGCACGTCCAGCAGCTGTGCTCCTCTCCACACTGTGTGGGTCCTTTGGTCATCTATCTCAAAAGTGCGGCCTTGAATGGCGGATCAATGCTGCTTTGGGATGTCCATCAAAATGGCATCGTTAGTACCGCAGTTCTCTGTCTCTTTCTCTCTATATATAAATAAACACCGACATCTTGGAGTACAGAAATAAATGATAGTTGTACCAAGCGGCTGACTAGAGATTCTGTTTTTTAACGTGTGTATGAAAACAATAAATAATGGGATTGAATTATATTTTTGAAACAGACGGTGGTGATATAAATCATATAATATGGAACTTTCTCATTTGTCCAGCATTACATCAGGAGATTTTTTAGAAATGTATTTAACATTTGAGTCGTTGTGTGTTTGTAGCGTGTTGTGTGGAGATATTCAAGGGATAACTTCAGCATTGAGCTCTTTTGAATCCAGTGCTTTGGGATAACATTGTTTGCTTTTATCTTTTAAATAAAAATATATAGTCCCCCCCCCCTCTTTTTTTTTTAAACCGCTCGTGGTGGCATTATTTCCTAATGATGAAATCATCATGCCTAAGACTGGGAGATACACACTGTCGACGAACTGATGGCTGACATCCCACGCTGCTCTGCCAAACAGATCGTGCTCCTGGTTGACCAGAGCTTCTCCGGTGAGATTGCCAAGGTGCTTAAAGAGTCAGTTATGCATTACAACATGATTGTGCTCACTATTGGAAAGGAACTTGAATATTCTTATACCAGTGACTTTTTTTTTCATTTCTGGTCCAAGCAAAATGATATGCGGTCTTGCGTAACTGATATATTCAAGGTATTTATGGGGTTTTTGGAGGAAAAAAATTAAACATTATTTAGTGGAGGAATTAGTATATCAGGTGAAAAATAATTTCGCATTATGGGACTTTATATTAAAAGCAAACTTAAGACACAAATATAAAACTGACTATCTAATGAGCTGAAAATCTAAAAGAAATGTTACAACCTTTCTCCAGAAGATTTTAGCCCCAAAGATGAAATTTGAAATTTACATTCGCTTTTAATAATCTTTTCAAAAGTTAATTTTGATATCTTGTTTAACGCGTTACAGGAAAGCAGTGTTATGACAGAACATTCGACACCATTGATGGTCAATCCTGGGAATATTCGGATAACGCTCTCTGGAGCCCCATGTGACGTCAGGCCCAGATTTTCCAACTGTGAACTGAGACGGGAATACTTCTGGTGTCAGAATATTTCAACGGCTGTTTGGGTACAGGGAAATTTATAAGAACATTCGAGACACCGCTGTTTAAGTACAATGACATTAATGAGAGCCTTTTAATACCGGGACATTGCTGTTGGGGTGCAGGGAAATTTAAAAGAACATTTTAAAACAAGGACACCACTGTTTGTGTACAAGGAAATGTATGAAAACATTTTAGTACCGAACACGTTGTTTGGGTACTGGGAAATTTATGAGAACATTTTAATACCGGGACACCACTGTTGGGGTGCAGGGAAATTTATGAGAACATTTAAATACCGGGACACCGCTGTTTGTGTACAAGAACATTTATGAAAACATTTTAATACTGGACAACGCTGTTTGTGTATTAGGAAATTTTTTAGAGCATTTATTACAGGACACCGCTGTTTGGGTACAGGGAAATTTATTAGAACATTTTAATAGCGGGACACCGTAAAGGAACATTTTGTTTGTCAATGTTGTCTAATGTGTTTCTCTTAATTAAGCATCGTTGGAGTGAAATTGAACATTTTAATATTTTATGCTATAATAAAAGTTCTAATAGATTTATGGTACTAAGAAGAAGTAAATATTTCCTATACCCATCAAAGAGTTACCCTTCTTGTTATAATAGCCACAATTTTACCAGCCTCCAGATTTGATTTTAATCTTGCACTGATTCCCTCATGAATATTTACATCAGATATTGTTTTAAAAAAAAATGCTTACTTACACTGATTCGTCCAACTCATTGGCAAGAAAATGTTCGACCATGTTTATGTTTCATCGTAGTGCGGAAATATTAAATTTATATGATGCTAATTGATAAACTTTTATAAAATTTTGGTAGTAAACCTATATGTTTTAGTGTTTGAGAGTAGACAGTTATGTTTTATGCAAAACCTGTTTAATGCGATCTGACCTGATGTGTCAGCCTAAACCCATTCTTTTTATATTTCACATATCTTTTACTATGGACTAAAGACAAATTGTTGGAACGATTAGAAAAGCTCTGCATTGATGGGTTGTTTAAAATGCTGCCATGACCTGTGCTATTACTTACAAGCTGCTATTACTTCCATGGTTGTGTCGTACATTTATCATGAATCAAAGTTATTTGCAATACCTGATGTTAAGAATATCGTGAAATAAAAGTTTAAAACAATCAGAACGTGGAGTAAATAGGATTTAAAAAAAAATAAATATATAAAGTAATATAACTCAACACATAATGATTCTAGCAATTAATTTTTCAAATGTATTTTTTTGTTTAAATTCTAGCAAGGGGAAAAAAAAATAATTTCAATTTCATTAGACATGTCTAACCATCTCGAAGCAGCGTCAATAAAATTCAGTTAATATTATAGCGACAGGTCTGGAGATGGAAGTTGGCTACTGTCCGGAGAACCGCTTCTATTCCTGTAGCATTAAGCCGCGATTGCAATATGGCGACGGTCTATATTTTGTCATAGTGTTTAAATAGCAAGTGATCTATTTATATCAGTCAACAACCAAGAAAAAGAACAACAGATAACAAAGATAAGTGCTGTGGCCACTGTCCTCTCAGCGTCGGGATTCCTTTAGCGCAGTTCAATCTCATCGTGCAAGGTCACGTCGAGCTCGTAAGAGCGACCGGATTTAACCCGGATGTAGTCTAACCGGAAGTGCTCCGACACGTTAAAGTCTTTCACTAAGGCGTACACGTAGCTGAACCTCTGCATACACCGCGACGCAGGTTGATATTTGTGTTTGATGTAGTGACAATGTTGATTGAGGAAATCGGCTTTGAAGGCCGTCTGGTAGAATATTTGCAATGCGCTTTTGTCTCTAGAGATTTCCAGCAGCTTCCCGTCTCGTGAGACGCCTGCACGATGTACGATCAAGTGAGTTTCTGAGGGGGCAGCATTCCTTGCGGGCAGGTACGTCCACTGTTGCTGCAATTCGCTTGGAAATATCTAAGATCTCCCTGAAAAGACAATTAAAAAAACGCACTTTTTCAGACTTCATTTATAATTTAAGATTTCCAGCATTGTCAGACTTTCCAATTCACTTTTGTGTCATTTTTTTTTTTTTTTGCAAGTCAAACCAAAAAAAATTGTACTAACTTAGACCCAGTCTGAATGATCAACTCCGTACCAACTTAGACCCAGTCTTAAAGTTGAAAGCTGCACCAACTTAGACCAAGACTTAAAGGTGAAAGCCCCACCAAATTAGACCCAGTCTTAAAGTTAAACGCTGCACAAACTTAGATCCAGTCTTAAAGTTTAAAGCTGCACCATCTTAGAGCCAATCTTAAAGTTGAAAACTGCACCAACTTAGACCAAGTCTTAAAGTTGAAAGCTGCACCAACTAAGGCCCAATCTTAAAGTTTAAAGCCCCACCAACTTAGAACAAGTCTTAAAGTTGAAAGCAACACCAAATTAGACCCAGGCTAAAAGTTGAAAGCTGCACAAACATAAACACAATCTTAAAGTTGAAAGCCCCACTAACTTAGACCATATCTTAAAGTTGAAATTCCCACCAAACTAGACCCAGTTTTAAAGTTGAAAGCTGCACCAATTTGGACCCAGTCTTAAAGTCGAAAGATGCACCAACTTAGAGACAGTCTTAAAGTTAAAAGCCCTACCAACGTAGACCAAATCTTAAAGTTGAAAGCCCCCACCAAATTAGACCCATTATTAAAGTTGAAAGCTGCACCAATTTAGACCCAGTCTTAAAGTTGAAAGCAGCAACAATTTAGACCCTGTCTGAAAGTTTAACGTCGCCCTAAGTTAGACCCAGTCTGAATGCAGTTTGACTGTTCAACGTCGCGCCACTTTAGACCCAGTGTTAATGCACTTTGACTTTTTAACGTTGCGCCAAGTTAGACCCAGTCTGAATGCAGTTTGATTGTTCAACGTCTTGCCAAGTTAAACCAAGTCTGAATGCAGTTTGACTGTTCAACGTCGCGCCAACTTAGACCCAGTTGAACGCAGTTTGACTGTTCAACGTCGCGCCAACTTAGACCCAGTTAAATGCAGTTTGACTGTTCAACGTCGCGCCAACTTAGACCCAATTGAATGCAGTTTGACTGTTCAACGTCGCGCCAACTTAGACCCAGTTGAATGCAGTTTGACTGTTCAACACCGCGCCAACTTAGACCCAGTTGAATGCAGTTTGACTGTTCAACGTCGTGCCAACTTAGACCCAGTTGAATGCAGTTTGACTGTTCAACGTCTCGCCAAGTTAAACCCAGTCTGAATGCACTTAGACTGTTCAACGTCTCGCCAAGTTAAACCCAGTCTGAATGCAGTTTGACTGTTCAACGTCGTGCCAACTTAGACCCAGTTAAATGCAATTTGACTGTTCAACGTCGCGCCAACTTAGACCCAGTTGAACGCAGTTTGAATGTTCAACGTCGCGCCAACTTAGACCCAGTTAAATGCAGTTTGACTGTTGAACGTCGCGCCAACTTAGACCCAGTTGAATGCGGTTTGAATGTTCAACGCCACGTGTCGAATAATCGTTCTGACGCTCCACAAATGTATGTCCTTATGTAAATGGCAAGTGTCAATAACAAAGAGATACGTTCTAAAATTAAGTATCCATGTAAAATAGTTCATATATTTAGTTGAAAATATTTGAATTGGAGTAGAGATTCTGAAAAAGAACATTTCGTTAAAAGGTTCCATTCAGCTGCTTGATAGATAGACAAAGATGTATTAATAGATTGATTCAGACTGCCGGATAGAAATACAGACCGGCCGTGTGAATGAATGGATGGGTAGATACATGGTTAGGTTGAAAAGTATTTAGTCAGTTCAGAAAGGTAGGTAAAAGGCATGGATGGTTAGTTGGGTCAGGTAAGACTGGTAGATAATAGACATGGATGGGTTGTTTGGTATTTGGTCAGGTAAGACAGGTAGGTAATAGACATGGATGGGTTGTTTGGTATTTGGTCAGGTAAGACAGGTAGGTAATAGACATGGATGGGTTGTTTGGTATTTGGTCAGGTAAGACAGGTAGGTAATAGACATGGATGGGTTGTTTCGTATGTGGTCAGGTAAGAAAGGTAGGTAAAAGGTATTTTTAAATGTGCACATAATCCTCGATCCATTCCAGAGTAGACAATGTGTATTTTTGTAATGTATCGATATGTGACAGAAGTAGCTCTGCTAAATGACAAATAGCAACATGTCACATATACACACATTACATATCAGTATTTCACCATCAACTTGTAACATTTCGGGTTCATATTGGAGAGACGAATATGTATTTAAACTAAGCAATAATATTATATCCTTTTTCTCAATGTCTTCTAACGTGTTTGAGATAACCGAAACGGTAAATATGGCATGATGAGAGATTTTGGGAAGCTCACAAACTAGATAAGAAGGAGATTGTACACATGGTAAGAAACTGATTGTCCTTGAAAAATGCGACATTTCAGCAAATCAGAAAGAAAGTTAATGAAACAATTTTTAAGTCAGTTCCAAGCCAACCGAGTAATATTTCGAGAAAATATGCTCCTAAACAATTACTGCAAATAATTATGCCATTTCACGCTATTAAGTAACTAGAAAGATTCGTTGTGTCAAGTGTCAAACAAAAATAAAGATGGCACTAAACTAGTATTGACACGTTAAAGTCCTTCAAAGTCTCACATAAATTACATTTAAGCTTATATAATAGTTGAGTTTGGTCGACTTTGATCTCAACATTTAACTAACGAGATTCTGAAGACATCAAGACAGTTTAATTGTTGGTGTATCGTTTCCACAAACTTTCCTCCAACAAAACTGTACTGACTTCCAATACATGACGTCATTCTGTTAATGTACTATGTAAATGTAAAATGTAAGTGTCAGTGGAGTAGCTAGGTTTGGTGTCGCCAGGGACCAACAATGTTGACTCTCCCAAAGTTGACCAACAATACCAATTCTTCCCCACTTGACAACCAATTCCGACCCTCCTCCAGTTGACCGACAATGCCGACCCTCCCCCAGTTGACCGACAATGTCGCCCCCATTTGACGACGATGCCGCCCATCCACAGCTAACCTTAGATCATGGCCATCATAAACGGGTGTGGCTTCACGTTTATTTCAGACAGTGTATCGTATTTATGAGAGGGATGAAGCTGTATTTGATACTATTTAATAATGATACGTATTCTTGTTTCTATCCTTCTTTTAGCGTTTTCCTTAAAATGTTTCGTTTTGAATGTCTGTCAATTATTTAGAGAATTTTGAGGTCTCCGATATTTGTAGTTATTGATCAAAAACTTAAGTTATGGAGGGGACAGTTGTTAGTGACTTACAAAATTGATCAAGTAAAAGGACCAATAATTTTACGAGGGTAGGAGGGGGTTGGAGCGGGGAGTGACGAAACACTGGGAAGAAATGAGTTCTAAATAAAGTCCAATTACTCTCTCACTCATTGGAAGCAAATGGACATATCTAAGAACTCGGGAGATGTGGTCAGAGTTATTTATCCGTTATCCAATGCGCGCTTCAGTATTGTGTACCTTCTGTAGTATCTGAAATTACTGTTACAGTAAGCTAATTGTGATTGCATTACAGTGACTGCTACAACAGGTGCTGTTATCTTATTATGTTGAAGACGCAGCTGACCTTGTGCGCGCAGACGACAGAAACAAGCCCTGATCACAAAACCGATATTAGCCCAGGTCTCTGACAGTGTTGGACAAGCAGATCTCAGATGCACCAATTTGAGTCAGAACCACATGTAATTGTCTCTGTCTTATCGTTATTTTATTTTAAGTCTGTTTGATGCAATCCATGATTTCCCCACAAGACGGCACTCATTGATATCCTGAACAGCAGCTGCACAGTTCCAAGGATCAGGCTGGAAACACTTGTAAAAAGTTTAGTCATCCGCTAAAAATGTTGGGAAAAAAAAACATGCCTTTTAATAAATCTGCCATGCTGGCTAGTGTACATGTAGAACAGAATAGGTCCCAAAACTGAGCCATACATAATGAATATGTTCATGAAATATGCTTGATTTATTACAATACGCTGAGTCCTGTCAATCAGATAAGAAGTAAACGAGCGAATTGCTGTTCAAGAGATGCCCGCCTCATTCAGAAGTTGTAACAGAAAAGTTCACATGGCCACGGAGAGTACTACAAAAAATATCGTTCATGACACGGAGCAGTCCCGTCTCACTGCTATGTCTAGGTTGATATATTGATTGAAACTTGTCAAGTAGGTCATAAGTCTTTAGATGCTGAAAAAGCTGCCGTGACACAACTAGCTCAAGAATTTTAGATACAAAAGGCAGATTGGGGATGGGACGAAAAGTCTCTCTGCAATTTGAGTCAGCGAAACTTTTATAAAGCAAAAGCTTAACGACCGCCGCCTTGTTACGTCGTGTAGCTGTGGCGGACTGAAAGCTACTATTCAAATGGTGACCAGTACAGGAAGAGACGGTGGACTGTAGCAGACGGAAGGCTACTATTCACAAAGTTTACCAGTAAAAAAAGCAAGACTTCCAGGCAGTCCTTATTAATTTTGGTTGGGATGAGGTAAACAATAGAAGATGTGGGTTTAGATTTCATGATAATACGTCTCAACTTTTTATGGGAAACGCAGACGAATTCCACTAGAGGGTTGACTTCAAAGATATTCTCCACTGCAGACAAATCACAACGTTCCCCAAAGCGTTTTCTTACCTTTTCAATTTGTCAGTGAAAACGTCGCTCAGATTAACGGCAGCTTGTTCGCTTCTCATGTTAGGCAAAACAAGGGATGCTGATTTCTTCCCGAGAAGGGCATTCACCACAGAGAACATCTAGCGAGAGTCAGTACCTGCTGCCTTACTAAGTGACTGAAAAGGCACAGACTTAGCGTGCATGATTTCTTGCGTACACATTTCCATTGATTTCCAAAACG